AAGAGATTGATGAAAGATTACGAGCTAGAATTCGTATCAATTTTTCTTTTTCCGTCTCGAAAATCGTGTCAATTAAAAGTGAGTCAAAAAAGATACAATATATTTTAAGCTTACGCTGTGTTATGCATTTAGCCTCTTGAAATTACGGAAATATTTCCATAATTTTTGACATGTCCTGTGATCATTTTTAGAATTCAGAGATTCATGTATTTCTCGTTATAAAACATTAAAACAACATTTAAAAATTCATATTGTTGATAAATATATATATTAAATATATATTAAAAATTGATTCGTCGAATCAGTCTTCTTTCTAGTGTTTTTATAAAAATCTTTTGCATGTTTTTTAATTCATTGGTATCAATCGTATCGTAAATATAGCAAATAATTTTTTTATTCATCGAAACATATTATGATTATGATTTTATTCATGAAACATATTAACATGTTCTTATTTATAACGTTAAAATCATCACGTATTTATCCATCAATTCATTTTGCCAATGGATTGATAAACTTTTCAATAAAATATAATAGAGATATATTTTCTAATTTAAAATATTAATTATTATTAGTTATATGTGTGATATGAAAACACATTACAATATTATAATTTAATTTAAAAAATGTGAAAAAACGAATCTCCTTCATGTAATATTTCACTTTTAACGAGCGATAATATAACAGTGATATAGAGTATTATTAATTAAATGTATATGTATAAACATATAAAAATTAATAACTTTTTCAAATTTTATCAAATCAATTTATCAAATCATATTTTAAAAATAGTGCCAATATATTTAAATATAGATCTTAAAGCACTTTTAAATCATGTAGAATTTTAAATTTCTTTTGAAATTCTAAGTAGCTAAGTACACCCCTTAATTATAAATGCAAAAATATATACTATATAAATATAGCAAATGAAATGTTTATAATTTCTAATACTAATTTGTGTTATTAGAATCTTATCTAAGATTTAAGTGAATGTGGATACCATGGATAGGATGCACACCAAATTCGATTAAAAAAGTTTTATTAATTATAACTAAATATCTTATTATTATATTATATTTTATTAATTATCTTATATGAATCTTATCTTATTTATTATGTGCATTATTAATTATTTTATATAAATTTTATCTTATTTATTGTAAATAAATTTTATTAACTATATAGATTATTATTATCATCATTTATTATTATCATCATCTATACATCAAGTCGTTCTTAATGGATTCTAAAAATAGACCATCAGATATCCATTGGAGATGCTATATTTGTGCTGAATTAAAAAATTCTTATCTTTTCTCTATCGATGTGACATTGCTATTTTCCATCTGATTTCAAGAAACAGCTTTATCATTGTTATTCAATAGTTATTCTTATCTATTATGATTTTTTATTTTCTATTAAATAGATCCATTTTCAAGAACATACGCAATCTTATTTAATATCTTATAACTCTGTCAATTTTGTGAATATAACTTGTCAAGGAATAAAACTTGAAAGGCATATTCTCTAGACATAATACTTTAAAAAATATAAAAAAAAGTCCTTTACAAAATAGAGAATCTTTTAACATAAATACAATAATTTTTTGTTAGAATCTATCGATAAAGATATGGTCAAATAATAGCGCAACATTTTAATGAAACGCTGTAATAATTATTACAGTAATAATTATTACTCTTGGATTTTAAGGCTTTTAACTTTTGAACTAAGAATTCCGCGTTGATGATGGCGACACAATGTCGCGATAAGAATTAAAATTAAAAGCTTTTTCATCCTTGTTCACTTTTATTCTTATCCTTGCTCTGTTCTTATTATCTTTATATTAATAAGCATGAAAAGTGACATGTTGACGATGAAATTTTTTACTGCATGTTATTTCGTTATGCGCTTAATCGTGCAAATATGATTTGTCTCGTAATCTATCAAATTCGTAAAAATAAAACGGTAACTAAAGTTATCTTTGTATTTTGTACGTAAAATCATATTTTTCACTTCTTTCAACAGTTGTCAAATTGTTTTTCTGTCTGAATAAATTTCATTTCACAAATAACCTTTTATGGCTATTTATTGATTATCAGGAGGGGAAAAGATAATAGCCGTTTATTTTCACAAATGTCTTAAAACTATCTTGCGTGTTGTTTTATTCAAACATCTGTTTATCTTGCAAATTATATGCAAATTTCACTGTGTCATTTCTCACTTATGACATCATGATTCCAATATGATCGCAGTGACTAGTTACAAACATCAAAGTATAATTGTGACGCGAAAGTCAAATTTACAAATTATGTTCCGTGTTTATGATTGTACTGCGTAATCTTCGTTATGAACAAGAAAATTGTTTTTATAACACAATATTGTCATGATAATAGATAAATGGATAGATAGATAGATAGAGGGAAGCGAATGCTATTTTAATATTTAAAACTTTATAATCATTATAAGAGAATGATTATAAGAGAATTAAATGACACATTTTATATGAGAAAATTCTCTGGAATTTCTTGTATATTTTAATATTTTCTATACATTATATATTATTATTAATTTATTGCTGTTATCATATTATAGTATCAAATGTATTATTTATCATATTTTTAAAATATTGTAAATTTTTTTTAGAATATAACATGTCATAAAAATAATATTATAAAATAACAATTGTAAAAATGTTATATATTATCTTTTGAATAACATCGTTTCGTTCTAATTTTATAAGAATAAATTATATTTATACAAATGTCATTTTATTCTGTATTATAATTAGATAAATTAATTTTATCGTATTAAAACTGTTTTGCTCGCGCGTTAGAAAGTTGTCAAAGTGTTGATAAGAGCAAAAAAATTATAATAAATGAAAAAAGAAAAACGATAAGAGTTATGTGCTTAATAAAAGTTAAAAATATTTTTTAATAAATCACAAAAATAATATACAACAACGTTTCGATCAGAGACATAGTATAGATAGACCGAGCATGCTACATACCATGCAACATGTGCGAGTGAGAAGAAACAATCTGATTTTTTCTCTCTCTCTAATAGAAGAAGGTGGAGGAAACATTAAGTGGGAACACATAACGGAAAGTTATGTAATGCATGTGAGAGTATATAAAGAGTATTTTCACGTATGTCTTAATCTTCTCTTGAAAATTAAAAGTGAGATAAGTGAGTTCCTCGTCTCTGTCTGAAAAATCAAGTAAATATAATACTACAAACTTAGAGATAAATAAAAATAAGTAAATATAAATAGTAATATAAGTAATAAATAAAGTGTACCGATATATAAGTTATAAAGATAAATTTTTACTTTTGCGATTTAATTTTGTAAATACAAATAGCGTTTATATTCCTTGGCAAGACAATAGCAAGACGCGCAATAAATAATGTAGTCGACGGTCCATCGTTTGTGCGCAGACGCAGTCCATGACAAAGCCGATTAATTATATTTCACTGAATTAACATACACGGTACGAAGATTGCATCACTACTGCATCGAGAATGCGGCCCACCCGTTCCATTCAACATCTCCGTTTAATTCAGGGAACATGACTCGATTATCATTGTCTTTGTTGTTATCGATCAAAAATTTCAAAGAATCGCATATCGAACTAACAAAAGGATGGAGACATTCGTAACTTATCGTTTGCTTGATAAATGTCATTTTTAATCACATGTCCAAAAAAAGAAATTATGCACCTATATACGTGACATCAATTGATTAGAAAGATTTGATTATATTAGAAATAAATCACATTCGCGGTTATTGCGATACTAATATAAAATGAAGCAATTAGATTGCAAATAAAGCGATTAAATAGCAAGTGTTATTTAATCATCTCATTTTATGTTATTGACATATCAACAGTTGAAATCTATCACAGACAACGTAAAACGTATATATATATAATATATATAATATATGTAAGATAAAAATAAAAATTGTCATATTGAAATGTGTTAATATACATTTTAAAAATAAATATATATTTATAAATATTTAAGATGAGCAGATTTTTTTCAATTATTTTTCACATTATTCTTCTAATATTCTAGCATATCCATCATGAGCGAAATGTTACATGTACGTGTAAGTGAAGGAAAATTGACTGGTGTCATCGAGGATGGTTATAATGTGCGATATATTGCTTTTCGTGGAATACCATATGCTAAACCTCCGATTGGCGAGCTCAGATTTAAGGTATAGCATTTTAGAAACAAACTTTTCAACGAAAATAATCAGTTAATTTTAGCTGATAAATTTTAACTTTCTTTAGAAAGAGAAATTTAGAATTAGAAAGAAATAAAAATTCTTCATTTTTTCCAAATGTTCATGTTCTCATTAGAGAGAGAGAGAGAGAGAGAGAGAGAGAGAGTAATTTAACTAAATTAAA